CAGGCCCACACTCGCGCCAGCCACCGCGCCCGCAGAGGTCGGCACCCAGCCCTCGAACCATATCGTGTCCGCGCCCGGGGTGAAGTGGAGGTAGGGCACCATGTGGCCCGAGGTCATGACCATGGCGGTGTCGGTGCCCATGTCCATGTCGTCGTCGTGGCCTTCGTGCGCCGCGGCGAGGAGAGGGAATAGAGCGAGGATGAGCGAGAAGGTGGCGACGAGGCGCTGATTGGAGGTCGGAGAGGGCATTGTTGGTTTGGATGGGGTCGTTATCGTCTTTGATGTCGGTGTGTGAGCACTGTCAAAGTGCCTTTCTTGCGTTTTTAGTTACAGTACAAGGCGAGAAGATTCCCTCTCTCTCGAGCCTAAGTAACGTAGGCAAATCGCACGAAGCAGAACTCGCACGAAAATGAAGTCGTAAGGTTCAAGATGGGGAAGTTGACCGCAAGGAAGAACGAAGCAACCCATCTAATCACATTGGCGACGGCGAAGAAAATAAACAAGCTCAAATAACCGGAGTGGGCGGTCCGAAAATACCCCTCGGGGTAGAAGAGAAGCCGGTGCGCCGACAAGCTTCCAGAGTCAGGCGGCGAAGGCGAATCGTACACTCAAAAACAACAGAAAAATGAGAAGAAAACAGAAAGAGAAAGGGGTGTTCATCTGGGCCCTTTGACGCAAAAAAACTTGAAAAAAGAAAAGAAAAAAAAAGACGAAACCACTCAAATCGCCGAAAATGAGCATGACAACCACATATCCAGCATTGATCCAGCATTCCTGCGGCGACATCTTGCGATCGCACCTCCTTTCCACATCTCCTTTCCCAGTTCTGCCCCATTCAAAGGTCCAACAGATTACCCAACCGACCCTCGCCGACACCCGTATCTCTGCCCATCCCTCTTCTTCACGATACGCGGAGCACTTCGTTTGTGGCCCCTCCACATTCGCCGCCGCCCCGTCGGTGTGGGATGAAGTTCCCGAGCCATTCCCCGAGTAGCTGTCAACAGTGTGACCACCACGGGGATGTGATCGCGATGAGGAAGAGGGCGAAGAAGACCAAAGGCGGCGTGCTTGGGCCGTGCTGACGTGTGCTCGATGACAGGGACGGCGGCCGAGGACGAGATGAGTAAGGAGGGGCGGTGGGTCGTAGAAGAGAAACAGCGACGAGATGCTGAGAAGACAGTACATCGAGGATGAAAATAGAGATTGGCGGCGACAGGGAGCGAGGAAGAGAAGATGATAACGATGGCGGTAGCAACGACCGGACACGACCACGACCACAGCGCCGCAAGGGTGGTTAAGGACCTCGGACGTCGGGTGCCATGTCGAGGAAAAGAGAACAACAACAGAGAGACAGTGAGAAAGTGAAAGAAATACACGGCACATATGCGCAGAGACGAGAACAGCCATGATAGAGAACGAACGGCAGAGCGAGCGGTCTGAGTAAGAGACATACGTACGTCGAAAGCTTGGATCCAGAGGCTACTGCCATCGGTGTTCACCTGAGGCACGTCGAGATCGAGGAGGAAAGAGGGCTCCGCTTCATGATAACTGCGCTCTCACTTCGCCCTCCCTCCCTCGTTGTCGCCGGAGTCGAAATTACTGGCCGGAATCTTGATGGGTGTAAGTCTTCGAAAAGAGAAAACGAGAACCGGAAGTCGAAGGAGGCGTCCGCGAGGAAATTGAAAGAGAGATGCAAGTAGAGGCAAGGATTCAGCGCCGTCAAAGCCAGGTGAGCCATTTTCGCCACCTCCGCGCTGCTGCCTGACCTATCTACCCTCAACGCCGAGCAGACAGCACCGACAGGCCATCTAGATTGTATTCGCCAGTGCAGCAACCTCCTACACGAGGAGGGCGGAACGAGGGAAACGCAGAAGAGAAGGGTAAGGAAGTGAGGGCGATGATGGGGGAAGATCAACAAGAGCGGTCTGATGGCATGTGGCTTGAGGCTTTTCTGCGCAGTGGCGTGAGAATCTGATCCCTTTGTTTCATTGGCCGGCCGAGCGGGCTTGGTCTGTGCGCTCGATCATCGGATCGACGGCTCTGAGGAAAATGCTTCAACTATTCTAGCGGCCGTTATTTTACGCCGCCCCCGACAGACCAGATTCGCTGAAGTCAGAACATTTAATAATAAGGAAAATACAATATCTATGAACGGCTCATCTAGGCGAAGTCTCCAAGTCGAATGGAGGATATTTATCAAGAACTCTATGCTTTGAGACAGTCAAATTGTCGGAGGGTTAAATCCAGCGAGAATACTGAGAGAAATGACGGCAGGAAGTGCACTCGCAAGAAATTACGTCCACGATGAGTCTGATGCTTCTGAGATTGCTGTGATGGCGGACCGCTATCCAGCGCCCATTATTTGGGCACGGTATCCGCTGGTCCATCAAACCGCATCTAGTCGCACCAGGCTCGTGTAAGTACGTGTATTCACGAGGTGGGGTGGGGAAGAGAGAGAGAACAGCGGGAAGAGCTGAGAGATTCAAGAGACTATCGAAGAGGAGGGAGGAAGGGAGCCTGAAGGATACACAGGCAGAGCCCTCCCTTAAATACCCCGGAGGGCCACATTGAAATGGCCCAACAACGCCACACCGGAACCCGTCCAGGCGCGGGGCCACAATTTCCCAGCCACGGGGAGCAATGCCCAGTCGGGGAATGCAAAGCGCGGGTTATTGTTTCAAGACATCGCCGGGCGCTTGACAATAAAGGTTGTGGCGCGGATGTCTCTCCCATTGCCCACTCCCCAAAATAGACGCAGTGAGTCACAGTGCAGAGCTCCATTATTGGGCACATTACGTCGCGTATATCGTGGGTTCTTGGACCGATTACATTGTCGCCAGCACACGCAGAGTGCAGTCTTCTTGAGCCACCATGACCGCGACTGCGTTGAGGGCCCGAATTAGCTTTAGCTGGCAATACTAAGGTTGTGGAATCGAGGTTCTTCTATATTAAGCTGTGTTGCTACGTGCTTCAACTTCATGAACCGAATTCAGCATGGGTAATCTTTGGGCGCCTAGAGATTTCCTGATACCTGTACTTCTTGGACGTACTTCTGATTGTTGCCTGTGTCAGCGCATATCTCAAGAGCCTTACAAACACGATAGTGACGGGCCAAGGATTCCCGATAGGGAAAATCTTTCCACATTTAGCACTCGCTTATCCCGGTCATCTCGTCTCGGGCACGAAGACGAAAGAAAGAGCTGTGAGAGAGGAAGACAGGAGATCGGTAAAAAAATTTGATTACGTTTTTTGCCTTCATTCACTCATGGCGCCGCCGTTGTGGTGAAGTCGTTATACCACGCCGCGCCACACAACCCTTGTAGTTCGCTTCCATCACCATTCTGTAGCTTGTCCTGTCTGTGGTGCTCTTTCCTTTTAATTTCACTCTATCCTTATTCTTCTCCCTCCTCGTACTTCTCCCAATTTGACGGCCTCGTTTTCTTTCCTGCTCGGTCGGATTGGAGTCTCGTCTGAATAATTGATAAGCTTAGATATAACTGTTGCTTCTACGGTACCCTGCCCACATCTCGTACACCAACTTGAGGCTCCAGGCAGCAATCTGAGGAAGGCTGCAGGTCGAAAGGCACTTCCTACAGGTCTTCTTCCATGAGGTTAACGTGTCGTGTTGATAGAATGGTGTTCGATCATTGCGGTTCTATTGTCTTGCCCTGTCCCGGCTACGACAACAAGAATAATAACGGTATGGATTTTTTTGCCACTACTTAGAAGAATGAGACGGTAGTAACGGCGTAAATAATGCGGAGGACGTCTCGACGCGAACTCGACACTTGTCATAGAGCGATGTGAGCAGCTGAGTTTACTGCAAGGATTTGAATCGCGCAGGCAGAACTGGTGGACGAGAGGTGCACACCTTGGTCTTTTACGCGAGCTCGATGGAGATCGTGTTCGGAGTGTTGCAAAATCCATCGGCCATATGGATGCAATTGTTGGTCAAAACACAGGTGCCACTACAGCTAACCCCGTTGCAATAAATCACGGTGTTCGTAGTGAATAGGCAAGTAGTGTCTGGTGAAATGTTGATACACGCCCCGCTGCCTGTGCACACATGACAGTACCCCTGACAGCGGTTATTATTGTTGATGTTGCCGTACACGACGGTGGTGTCCAATGCTCAACGTGCAGCGAGTGGGTTGGGAGCCTTGCCACCCTCCGAGACGATCTCAACCAGTGGTCTAATTCGGCGTTGCAGGTGAGGAATGTAGCAGGAGTAGTACCTTCACCTTCAGCGGCCTGTATGTAGAACGGTGTCAGTCCATGGTAAATGCGTACTTCAACAAAGAGATGAGGATTACCGGGGTGGGACTGGCGTTGCCTACGACCGCGAGGAGGGCGGCAATGATGGCGTAGTAGGTAAGAGCGAAGAATTTCATGTCGATACTGGGTAGGATCCAAGATGGGTCTCTAGGTCTAGTATTTCGCAGATGGCTCATTTTATACTGTTGGATGATGGTTATTAAATTGCCCGCGTTTATGCATCGTAAGTAGTTACTTTGCAATCAACGACTTTTGATAATGTGACTCACCACGGCGATTCTTCGATCGTCCACAAGACTTGCGCTCAAAACGAATTTAAGATAAGATAGCTGTTTCCGCATGAGGTCTACAGAAGCATTCGAAAGTGTCGACGATGTTGTTGGTGCGCGAAGAACAAGCTTCACGCGGTAGACTCTGTGAGAACTGTCAGTGTAGGTCCATATAGGAATCACGTTGCCCATTGCACCTGGTGTACATGTGGACCGAGAAGGCTGTAATTCTCACGATCAGAAAGACGGGTGGGGGTCACTGACGCTAGAAGAATGTAATCTCGAACTGGGCTGCCAGCTCTGGGATCATGTGGCTGCGAGCTGGACGCACGTTTGCCCAATGCCCGTACTTGAAGTCTGAGTAGCTTCACGGCAGGGCTTCAGCGGAGCTTGGCTCCTTCCGAAAGCTATTATTGTCGGCGTCAGTACGACGGATTGATGAGGAGGGCAAGAAACGCTCGTATGCGTTGAACTATGTAGATCAAATTCTTCTGAATTTGATGACCCGCACGGCGCACCGTTTTCACCGAGAGCGCTCTCGAATCACGCAGGCTATGAATGCGACGAGCTATGGAGGAAAGAGGAGAAGCGCGTTTGGTATCATCATAGCTGTCGACAAATTCGCAGTTCATCACATTCGGCGTCGTTCCATGTAAATGAATGGCCAAACTGAAAGCAATGAGGCAAAAACCTAGCTCCCAGCCCACCCAATTCGCCAACACAAATCCGGCATTCGTCCAAGATTCCAAAAGTGATACTTCGCCGTCCTCCCTGGGCTTCCCCGTGGAAGGATCCCGTCGAGCCGTCCAACTGATCGGCCAACTGACACTCGTCGACAGCTGTATCTCCTCATCCCTCTTCCTCCTGATACGCTGCCGATCATCACGATTATACGTGGCATCTCCTCACCGCCGCTGGGTGTGAGAGCGCGTTCCAGAGCCACTGCCCGAGTAACTTTTAACGCAACGAACGCCACGAAGACGGTGATCGCGATGAGGAAGACGACGAAGAAGACCAAAGACGACGTGCTTAGGCCGTGCTGACGTGGGCCTGAGGACAAGCGGCGGTCAAGAACGAGGAGGGGCTGCGTATCGCAGGTAAAAGACAGCGGGGTGATGCTGAGAAGACCATAGTCAAGGATGATAATAGAGCCAGGTGGCCGCGACTACGACGACGAAGGGTGGATGAGGACCTTGGGCGTCGCGTGACTCGTATGTAGAGGACAAAAAAACAAGGCGGTAGAGATAGCAAGAGAGACAGTGTGTATGGGCAGAGATGAGAAGCAATAACAAACAGAAGGCACGAACGATAGCACGACGACCCGTGTAAGAGACATACGTACATCAAAAACCTGACGAGACTTGGATCCAGAGGCTACTGCCGTCAATGTTCACAGGACCGAGGCAAGAGGGCTCCGCTTCATGAGGACTGCCGTTCTCACTTCGCCCTCCCCCCGTTGCTGACGCCGGATGTCGAAGTTACTGGTAAGAATCTTGATGGATGAAAGTCTTCGAAAAGAGGGTAAGAGAACCCGGAAATCGAAGGCGGCGTCCGTGACCGAGTTGAAGAGAGAGGTAACGATCCAGTGCCGTCGAAGCTAGGTGAGCTATTTTCGCCACCGCTGCTGCACCCTACCGACAGGCCATTTGGATCGCATTGGCGAGATGAGGAAACACAGAAGAGAAGGATAAGGATGCAGGGTGATGCATTGATGGGAGAAGATCAGCAAGAGCTTCCCAGAGTGGCGTGGAAATATGATCCCTCTGTTTCATTGGCTGGAGGGGACAGGCCGGGCCAGCGGGCTTGGTCTGTGCGCTCGGTCGACCGCTCTAGCGGCCGTTATTCTGGCCGACTTGGAGCGATGCATTGGTGGCCGCGACCTTTACCGAGAGGCCAGATTCGTTGAAGCTAGAACATTGATGGAGAAAATATCTATGGTAGCGATTGAGAATAATTGAACAGCTTATATAGGCGACGTCTCTGAGTGAAATGGAGGCAGTATCCACAATTCCAAAATTTGTTGCGGTAGGAGAACCAAAATATCGGAAGGTCAAATGGAGGGAAGAATGTCGTGGATCAACAGAACACAGAGACTTCGTTTAGGCATTCGGGAGGAGGCGGACTCGCACTAAATCACAGCCACGATGAGTCTGACGCTTCTGAGATTGCTGTGATGGGGGCCACGATCCAGCGCCCATTATTTGGGCACGGTATGCGCTGGTCCATCAAACCGCATCTAGTCGCACCAGGCTCGTGTAAGTACGTGTATCCACGAGGTGGGGCAGGAAAGAGAGTGTGAACGCAGGGAACTGCTGAGGGATTCAAGGGACAATTGAAGAGAGGGGTGAGGGGCCACACAAATCTGAACCTCCACGTGGAAATTCACTACTGGCGGTCGAGACGCGTTTCCTGCATATTGTCTTCCGAATAGCAAGGTTAACATGTTGAAGTCGAAATTTCTGGGGTAAAAGGATTAAACAGTACCATCGACTACCATTCTATCGACACAACAATACTGTCCAGTAACGAAATATTTTTTATGGATTTCCAACTCAGAAGAATGAGATGGCAGAAGCAGGTTAATTAACGAGGAGGGTGTCTTGACCTGAACTCGACGCTCGCCATAGAGCAACGCTAGCAGATGAATTTGCTACGGATATTTAAATTACATTAGCAGATCTGGTGGGACGAGAAGTGCGCACCTCGACCGTTTACGGAATATTGATAGAGTTCGCATTCGGGGTGTAGCAAAATCCACCTGGAATACGATGGCAGTTGGCGGTGAAAGCACAGCTGCCGGTACATTCGAGATTGTCACACCAAAACACGTTGTTGCTTGCATATATGCATGTAATGGCAAAAGGAGTGTTGATGCAAACTCCGCTGCCCGTGAAGACATTGCAATATCCTTGGCAGCGACCATCGACGAGCTCATTGCAGTATGCGACGGTGGTATCCGATGCTGAACGTGGAGCGAGTGGATTGGGAGCCTTGCCACCAACCCAGGTGATGTTGGCCTCGGTCGTGGCAAGCCAGTGGTCAAATTCGGTGTTGCTGGTGATGAATGTAGCGGGAGTGCCTTCACTCTCAGTGGCCTGTATGTCGAACGGTGTCAGGCTAGGGTAAAGGCATTATTAACCGAAGAGGTGAGTACTAACGGGTGTTGGTCCAGCGTTCCCCATGGTTGCGAGGACGGCGACGACGAAGGCGTACTTGGTGAAAGCAAAGAGCTTCATCTCGATGCCGGGTGGGATATGAATGGGTCGATGACTCGTTGGCCTTTCGGAGGCGACCTTTTATACTGTTGGATTCTGTGGCTTTCAAACCAAAGATATAAAAGCTCTTACCAGATTAAGGTAGTGAGAGCCTGGTATTGCGTGCTTGAGAGAGGAGTTGGAACATGCTTGTTGGCGCAGTGGAAGAGAGAACTTAATATTTAGGCCTCCTACAGAGGTCCTTATATACTGTACACACTTTGTATCTAGTAGGTTCTACAACTATCTACTAAATACTATACCTATACGAAGCTGTGCTATGATGACTAATCTGCATTCCAGCATGTACGGGCGCCTACTCAAAGATCCGGGACAATGCCGGATTGCCCGATTCCAACAATGCTGATCAGTCAGGAATGGGTATCGGAGTCCTTCATGGCACCCTCTACTTGGAAAAAGGTGTTCCACAATCATAATTCCCTTGTACGATCAAATATTGGAGAATCATGGTAGCTATTTTAGAAATAATGTAGCAGACCTGAACTTGAGGACTGTGAGAGGCACAGAGGCTCCGCCGGTGAAATTGCAACCCCGGGTGGCAGGCCGTTCAGAGAATGGGAGATTTGAATCAAGAGCCTGATTGAATTCAAGTATTTTCCAGGCCATCCTCGACGCACAAGGGGGGAACACATCCAAAGATCAATAAAGAGCTAGAGGATCACTGAAGGTTCGCGAATTTGCATTTTGGAATCAAAATCAGTGTGATGTACAGTAGGACACATGCTTCACTGTAAGTTGTACATAGGTGCTCAAAAAGGGAAGGGGGATCGGTGCAGGGCCTGAAAATAGCTTTGCTTAAGTCTCTTCGATGCGATGCCCCATCCCGGGACTTCTGTTGAACAGCCTGGGGTAGCACGCGAATAAATGAACAATTATACACGAAGGAGGCTTTCAACCAACTTTGCTATCAAAAATTTCGTGCATCCCTTCCGAACTACCAGAGTCCATTTGATGGGACGTCATGCAACTTTATTCCACCCCACCGAAGAAGATGCCCTCCGACCGAGTTGGAAGATGAGGTCACGAGCAGGGCGAGAGCCAACGGATGGGTTCATAAATTATGAGCTGGTGCAGGGGGGATAGCAGTAGATATACTCACTCCGCCTTGGACGGGAACAAGGTTATATGGACAAGAGTGAAAGGGATTCCCTCTCGAGGTTATTAGGTCTGAGACTGCCTTTCGTGAATGAAGCCAACTATTCGTCAAGACTTCTATTCGAACAGGGGATGCAATAAACACTCCCCCTTGTGGAAAGGAAGGGCCATATGGGGACAACGGCTAGGATTAATAGCGTTCGAAACTGCCCAGAGCCACATGAGAAACTGATATCCACCCATGTGCTCGCCTGAGTGGCGGACCCTCCAGCTTGAGCGCATGATCGACTTGCAGAACTCCGCAAGGGAGATCCAGGAACTCACTCTCCATCGCCTTCTTAATTGATTCGTAGACCTCTTTTTGGCTCTGATCTATCGTGAAGATGAGCATGAACGGTGGAAGAGCACGCCAAAGATTAGTAAGATTAGTATCTGTCCCACTGTAAAACTCGCTTGCGGCAGCGGTTTGGGACTCCATGATCCACCTGTACCACGAGTGTACCAATTTCGTATACTTGGAATGCGGCATGGGTTCAGAAAACCTGTGATATCCTGAATACAGCGGCAGGACCCGTAGGCATGGAACTTAAGAGCAGGGGTTAGATCTTCTTTCCCGCTCTGGCGTTCGTCGATGGATAGGGCCGGGAACATCAGCAAATCCTGATTTTGAGGGTCAAAACGACCTCAATTTTAGCGTTACACTGCGTTATGGCGCGTTACGTAGCGCTGCGTAATGCGCCATAGTAGTACTGTAATGCATCTTCTTATCTACTGAGATGGTCCCCAACTACGGAGTGCTACGTACCCTCGTATAGTACTCATAACCCAACCAGGAATTGCTGATGAAAGAAATAAGGTCGGCCGACTCATCCATGCACGTCAGCCGCGATGGGCACCAGAGCCCAAGCACTCATATCCATGATCACCTGCGCGGCCTGCAAGACGAGAGACGTGGTGTCAAGCGCAGGAGCGTGCGGAGGTCCTCGCTGGTGATCTTCATCCGGTGGAGGCAGAGCGTCATGAGCCATGTGAGATACGGCATGTTACGCTCTATAGTCTACTCCAGGTCTGAGCCTGTTGGGACAAGGGAGAACGACGAGGTCTCCGCAAGATCGCCGAGATGGTGGGATTCAAGGGCGGGGAAGTCCACGCCGCGGAGGAGGGTAGAAGCGCTTGTATGGAAGGTGATCTTCAAGGTGAGCTAGGTGAGGGAATTTGGCGGTATATAGCAGGATATATAGAGAGCCCCAGGTCGTTGTATCTCCGAGTTTGGTTTGGTCTTTGTGTAGTCTTCAGCTCGCGGTTCGCTACTCGAAGATTACGGCATAAATTGAAGAACAAGTGTCAGCTCTGAACGTAGTCCCAAGGGGAGAAGGGGAGAAGTACAGAGTACAGATTCGGGTAGGCAGATCGCATTTTAAATTGTTAGAGATCAAGAGCGAACCACACAAATAGCGAAGTAAATGCTCATGAATCTGATCAGTTATTCCGTGATTGTCCACCTCTCCCTCCAAGCGCAATCCATGGTCAGCACGTCCCCCAATCTAATCTCCTAAAATTCTTCAGGGAGAGGCGGATATTCCAGTTGGCAGTGATCTACTCGCAGAACTCCGCGAGGCAAGTCCTCAAACTCGCTCTCCATTGTCTCCTTGATTGTTTCGTAATACTCCTTGGTGTCCTTCGGACACTTCACCGTGAAGAGGAACTTGAATGGAAGAGGCTTGCCTCCGGCATGAGTTCCTGGTTCGATGGCAGACTCGCTTCCTGCAGACGTTCGTGATTCCTTCATCCACCTGTATCGTGAGCGTACTAAGTTTGCATATGCGGAATGCGGTATGGGTTCGGTTGGCGAGTGTTGAGCAGAATATAGGGCCAGGACACGTAAGCTTAAAAGTGGAGGACAAAACCCTTTCTTGCTCTCGTGCTCATCAATGGACAAGAACGAAACGAGGTCTTCCGACTCCACGACCATCGTTCCCCGCATCTCAAAGACACTCAAACGTTCAAGACGTTGCGTCAAGGAGAGAAGTGTACGGAGATCCTTGTTGCAAATCTTCAATCTGGAAAGGCACAACGTGGTGAGTTCTGTGATGTATGGCATGTCGCGCGCGATGGTCTCCGCCAAATCTGCACCTTCTGGGACGAAGGAGAATCCTGGTTTCACGCCTCCTAAATGTCCGAGATGCAGTAATTCGAGGGCAGGAAAGTCCATGCCACGGAGGAGGGTGGAAGCACTTGCTTCGAAGGCGATCGTCAAGGTGAGCTCTGTGAGGGAAGTTGTGGAAGTAGGCACGAGCGGAGAGTCCCAGATCGTGCCGTCATTGAGCTTCTTTGCCCCCATTCGCCAAATCTCCAGCTTGATGTTCGCGGTACGGAGATTACTGCATGAATGCATGAACGACCGCCAACTTTGAATGGTGTCCCGAAGCGAATTATTGCCAGCGACAGACATGACAAGGTCGAACGTTTCTAGGCGGTGCCGCGGGACCGAAATATTTGCGAGGTCCAGAGGGGTAAAGATGGATAACCTGTAATGCCGAAGAGGGCAATTGGAGAAAATTTGTGTTTCCAGAGTGTTTACGTTCATAGCGCGATCCAGGTGTAGGCTTTCCAGACTTGGGAAAGCGTTCAACGGGATATCCTTTAGGATTGAATTCGCGCATGGGCCTTTCATGTCAAAATCGAGTACGCGACATCTTGGATAAAGTGTTTCCAGCAGCTGGGTGATCCGTGTTCGATTTTCAGATGCGGTGCTGCGATATTCGGATATGTTGAGATTTAGAGGAGTAGTACCTGAGCGATGAGAGAAATATTCGAGTGCCCGTGAAATCTTGTTGTATTCCTTGTCGGGGGCACCCTCAACGGGGAAATGACACCAGATGTGCGACCACATTTGAGGATCATTCACAACTGTGTCCCGCCACAGTTTGGAGACCCGACAAAGAGCAAGCGGTGGTTGGCGAATCGAGGGCTTGCTACTGCAACTAGGCAATGTGAACCGGAGGATCCTCGTTAGCAGCTCCGATGGCAGCCGGCGGATAGGGGCGGTGACAGATGCCATGATCCCGAGTTTTCTTTCTCTGTCGGCTATCGTCTCTTCCAGAACGACAATCTCTCCACACAATTCCTTTATTTTAGCCAGTTTCAAATAACATTCATCGCGCAGGTTTTGAACCTCATCCTGTAGGGTGTTTTGGATATTGTTCCGCATCTCATTCTCGTCTTGTGAAACCAATAATCCGATTCCTGTTCGAATGCTGCATAGAGTCTTATACCAGGCATCGCAACTCTGTACACAGATTAGATGAAAGAAATGGCAGATGCAAATTTTAACTTACCATCGTAAGTGGCGGTTCGATGTTGAAATATGGTACGTTGCCTGCAGAAAAATCTCCTCGCCGCTGCGGGGCCGTGTCAATGTCGTCTTGATTCCATGAATACGAATAATCTTGTGGAATGTTTCATTTCATTATGTGAAATAAAGTCCGCGAAATCAGAACACTAACCGAGCCACTTGACCTTGTTCGCTGTTGGAGGGTCGTGTGCTGCCAGGCCAGTGTCGCGCTTCCAGATTTGAAGGCGAATTGATTCTTCTGAATTTTGTGCAGCACCTATGAGGCTTGTATAGGCTTCAAGTATGTGTTCATGATAAGGCTGTAGATGCATCATTTTGGGAAATTACGCGACTCTTGAGGCCTTGAGGCTTTGGCCCCTGAAGTGGTCGAAGGCAAAAGGACGACTACAGAATCGGCCTCGTTCCCTTCCGGTTCACACTCCGACTCCCACGACACCATCGTGTTTTTGAAGCATTTACTCATATCAGAGTGGATCCACCCTCAATATTCAGTTCTCACCGGCACCATTCACTTTCCTTTAGTATGGCTTTACCATTCTGCATGGATTCGTTGAAGGCCGCAAGTTGTGAAGTCAGCGGCAAAGCCCCGCAAATGCGGATTACCAACTCCGACGTCGTCCCACGCCACAACGCGTCGTTCTTGGATTGACTGTCCCCCACCTTTGTTCCTCGAAGGAATCCTGCCTCCAGCTCCTATAGGTTTTGATATCTCTTGTGACCTGAGGAATTGGACCGCGGAGATGGTTGTTCATGCTGTACTGTGGAGTAGCATCATGAAGGTCCGTATACTTTCCTCTTCGTTGCTGCTCAACCTGATGACAAGTTTTTCAGTTTCCTTATTCCGAAATGTATTGTATCGCCCTCGATAAGAATCGTATTTTCTTTGAATACCTGGAGTTATACTTGTTCCTTGCGCAAGACTCCTCGTCTTTCTCATGGTCATTCGACGACACCCCGATGCATGCAGCATCGATGGCGAAGGAGAGTACGCCTTGCGTTTGGCAAAGTCTGAAAGGCTTCTCAGCGCCCTCCGCACCACGTCAGGTGCTGTTCTTGATCAATTGCAGCTTCAAAATTCTTCCCCTCTGCTTCGCTATCATTATCCATTTTCTATGGTCACCCCTTGACTTCGCCATTCATCTCCTCTATTTTTGCTTGCCCTCCTTTACAGCCGCATAACCCTTCTTTCCTGCTACCTACGGGGTTCCTTCATAGCCCCGATCTCTGCGAAGTGTATGTTCATGTTAGTTTAGTTTACGCCAACGGGGTGGTCAAACGGCCTAAGTTGGTGAACCAGAATTCTTTCTCTCAGGCCTAGCCCCGACTTTCTCTTTCTTTTTTCTACCATCGTCTCTTTCTCATCTTAGGGCCGACGCAGAAAGAGCCTGAAGATGAATATTTGCCGTGAAAAGGTCACCCACGAAGGTATGGATCGTCGTTATCAAAGTGCTAGTCTATCTGACGAGTCGTTTCCAGGGTTCGATCTGCAGGACCTTGCTCCAAGGATTGCGCCGATGTACAGGCTTCATGAAGATTACTTGCCTGACCTTCAGCATGAGCTGCGTGCGTTAGTGGTTTCCAAAATCTGCCGTTCCTGGCCAGCGCCAGCATTAAGAATGCTGTCACTTCGGCCGAAGGCGATAAACGTTGACCAGCTCATCGAATTCGCCAAAGAGACAAGACGACAAATTCCGCCTTCTCATCTGAACGCGATCGTGATGGTGAAAATGCAGATGGGGACAAAAAAAGAGGACGAAGATGAAGATGAAGATGTGCTGACCCTGCACCGCGGCGCAGGGCCTTCAATCGCTCCAGAACGGCGACGTGGACAATGGCTCTGACATCTTTGCCATCGTCCGCCTTCCTAACCTCATCAATCTTATTCTGAACTTCAAAGACATCTTCCGGACCACCGTTCTTCTAAAGCATCTCATGCCAGCAAGAGGTTGGGCGATCCAGGCGTACACGGGTCCACCTCTCGCTTTCATCACCTCTCTTCTTCTGTACCCGAGATTGGCGACTCCCCTCCCAAAGTTCATATGTCGAAGACGACCTGAAATAGAAATGCAAGTTCAGCGCCGTCTTGCCCGCCGTCGCCGGCCTCTTCGTCCTCCTCGCCCTGCACCACCTCGTGCGCGGCGTCCGCTCTGAGCAGGCGTTTGCAAATCTCTGGCGTGTGATGGAGGAGTTTGGGCACACTCTGGCTAAATCTAAAACTCCACGGAGGAGAGACGAGAGAGGGAGTGCATTGAGAAGGTCAGAAGCGGCCCTGTCGAGGATGGGCGCAGGGTTGTATGGGACATTGTCGGGGACTTGGGTTGCACTGAGGCCTGAGTACGTTCTTCTCCATCGTCTCCGTTTTTCGTGCTTGGGTTAATAAGATTGATCTGCAGTTATCGTCGCCGCTGCATACGTTATCGTCATAGTCTTCTGTAACGTCCTCAAGGCACCTCTCATGTCTAACTCAAACCGCGCAAGCACGTATGTCCTCTTTGCGCATACAATACGTCTAATCTAACCACTTCTTATGCAGACTTCCTCGCCCTTGCGTAGCTAACGTCCATCTTTCTCCTTGCCGCAAAGAAATTCTCTTTTGAGAGGTTCAAAAACCTGCACCGCTGGGCCGGCCGCACCCTATTCGTCTCGGCGCTCGTCCGTAGGGCTGTATTAGAAAGCAGTCGAGCACGGCATCGAGACAGTGGGCGAGCGGAGTGGCATAGCTGCATTTGCTTGTCTTGGGATCATCGTGCTGAGTTCGTTGAGGGTTGTACAGCGGCAAGCTTCAGGGTTATTCCTTGCGGTGTAGTAAGTTTTTTTTTCGTGTTTTCCGATCCTCTCGCAGCATGGAATTAACGACCCCATGCTGGCAGTGTGTTAGTGTTCCCGACGTTCTTCGTTCTGGTGTGCAACTACAAGATCTCCTACTAATCGTCATCAAGGACGGCGTTCTTGTCGATGGCACTCGTAAGTATTATTTTTTTCCTCTTCTCTTTATCTCTTTCTTTCCTTGTTAACACTATCTTGCTCGTAGGTCCGTATCCCGTACTCAATTCCACGCTGGTTTACAGGGCAGCATTCCCGGCTCCGCCTCTTTTCTCGCGATGAGTATCTGAGGCACACCCTCTTCCGATCTTCGCCGCCTCGCCATCTACTATCTGCATCTCGCCCTCATGGTATCCCCAAAGCGTCTCTCTCGGTTTAAGGGTCGTGCTCTCAATGTCTGCCCGCGACAAGCAGCCGACAAAATCCTCGCCAATGAGACAACTCGAAGACAATTGAGGCGGGCGGGCTGAAGAAACACCACGCGAATCTCCGCGTCGAGGTGCCCGTCTAGGTGGTGATAGATGGGTCGTATGGCGGCTCGTCGATCGAGCTGGGGCAGTATGACTCGATACTCCTCTCCGCTGGCGGTGCAGGTGTGATGTTTGCCTTGGGGTGTTGGATGTTATAGTTGCAACGGCTATCAGGGAGAAACGAGAGGGTGGCGAGAGGAGGGTGTGTGGTGTCCTAGGTCGTTTGGTACGTGTCTTTTCCGTTCTTTCTCTCACGCTTGAACGACTGCTGATGAAAACGATTTCGTGTTTAGGCCCGATATACTAGTTTCGCATCCGCGATGAACGACATCGCCAACCTCGCCACGTCCCCGCTTTCATCCACCCCCGTCGGTTGCCCAGAAATGCACACATCGACCATCGTGACCTGTCTGTGCAACCCCGAGGCCGTCCCGCCGATCTCGAACCACGACGTGACGATCGTTGCGCCGGACATGTAGATGGTGTTGGCAGACCTGGCTGGGTTCGTTTCTGGGTTGCCGTCCGCTCCTTCAACAAGTTCTCGAGTTAGACAAGGAAAAAGCCGCCCTGGAGTCGGCCAGTTTGAGAATGCACGAGGAAGAGGAGAGACAGACGCAGTTGACAGGGGGGGGGGTCATCAACCATAGTGCCCGCTCAGCGTTGTCCGTCGAAGAGATCGAGCTCGATCCAACAGAGGATCTGTTTGCATACCCTCTGCCTTTGCCGCGCTTTGCCTTGTCTCCAGATGAGGATAAGGAGGGTAGTAGAACCAAGTGGCCAGTGAAAAAGGTTGCTTGCGACGCGTGTTAGAGCAAAGAGACGGATTTTTACGTTCTCCATGGCACAGAAAGAAAGAAAAACAAACGGCTTCTAGGCCTCGAATTCTCGTCTAAATTGCAAATTTAAATCTACTCCGCTCTTCAACTTTGTCGTTCAGTGGCCTGAAGACATTTCACTCCATTGTTTATGAGAAAACCGAGAACACCAGGCGCAGATGATATTCGAAACCAATAAATAGGGCAAAGATGGAAAGAGAACGAAGTGAGTAATTAAAATACAAGTCCGAGATGATGAGATAACGAGAGCAAGATAAGATAAAAAGGACAAAGGGATCAGATAAGCTCCACGGCCCTACGAACGCTCTCCCAACTCAACCCTCCAAGCTCCAACTCCAACGCTAGCAAAACCTACGACGGCACCTCGAAGGCCACGCTTGCTCGTAGAAACGATACCGCCACCTGTGGCAGTCCAACAGTCGCCCACCCAGACCGCCCGTGAAAAACGAATATGTGTCTCTCCCAGGCCACACGCTCCGCGTACTCGTTTGTTTGGGTGTAGTCGAAGGCTTCGACCGATCCGTCTTCGTTGATTGTAGCACGCTCGTTTGAGCGCTGGAGCCGCCTGGGTGCTTGTGGTATGGGGCGAGGAGCAGGGACGGGCGGACGTTCGGCGGCGGTCCCGAAGGAATGTATAGGGCATGGGTCGACGTTAGGAGGTAGGTTCGGGTCTTGGTTCATGGACGCCTTCTCCGGAAGACGTTTGGCTTCATACAGTGCGGCTTCTTCGATGAAGCCCACGAGGTCGTCAAGGAGGCCCTGTGTGAGAGCGATGAGGGAGAAATCCTCGGCCTCTGCCTCCATATCACTGCTGGAATCGCTCTCATCGTCACCCATCCTCTCGTCCTCTGAATATTCGCCGTCTTCTGTATCCCCCTCGGGTGTGTTAAAGTACCGGCCCCAGATGAGGCCCAGCATTGTGCTGGTCCTCCCTCTCGTCGATGGTTGGCTCGTCCGACGTGAGCCGTGGCCTCTTCGCTGCTGGAGAATCTACACTGGGCGAGATGGTGCCGACAGACGCGTTCAGAGAGAGCAAGAGAGAGTTCTCGACCTCAAGGATGCCGTTGTAGCTATCCTCCTCATGCATTCGCTTCCTAGAAGGGATAGTCGATGGCGGTGGCATGACGGTCGTCGGAAAGAAGGATCGGTTTCGCCGTCTACGAAAATGTTGCGTTCATCGTCCGAGTCTTCGGGCGAGGGGAATTGGTCGCTCTCACGGATTCGAACGACTGCCTTGGACTCCACGGGCTAAAGTGGACAACCGATTGTCAGCATCGATGAGCATAAGAGTTCAGAGGGAGCTTACCTTCATTAGGGAGAGCAAACCTGGAATCTTTGTAGACTTGATGCCGGTAACCGGTTGGTGGCTTGGTCCTGCGAGAATTTGGAGGTTCTTGAACCCATCGACGTCGACGGCAGCGCCGAAATAGAGATGAGTGGCGGCAGTGGCAGAGGTATTAGTGAAGGCAGAACAAGTGGAAACGGTGTTGAACTGCATGTCTACTGGTGTATATATAGCGGCGGCATGTGAAAGGTATGAACACTGGTTTCTGGTGTCTGAAAGAGCTTTGCTTAAAAGGCAAAGGGCACAAGGACGATTGTCATGGTGGTCGTTTGAAGAAAGAAAGCACTAAGCGAGCGAAATCTGACTGCCGGTGGAGTCTCAATTCCATTTTCTTTGTCTTCTGTGGCGTGTGGCTCTAGGAGCCGGGTGCGCGCGATGGCCACGGTCCCAAACGCATGGGCCTGCGTGCCACATCTTCCCAGAAAGGAAATCTGGGATAAACGTGCACGCAGCGAACGTCGAAATCCTTTGAGACACCAGGTCTGATCTATGCATTTGATAGGCAGGGCGTCACTTGGACGTAGCGTACATGGCTGTTAACGAACGAGCTGACGAGCTGACGGCGGTGGAATCTTCTAGAAATGTGCATTTCCAGATTAGACCTGGATGGTTCTGATAAGATAAGGCGAAGAGGTTTTATCACCCCGTTTACGTGTTGGGCGCTTAATTGGACGTCGACGCTTCCCCCACCATGGAAAAAGTCCACTTTCCTGCCAGGGAGATATCTCTGACAATAAGGAGGTCTAATCCTTACCATGGGATTAGACGTGAGTTCTATACCTCCTCTCGTGCCTGATGGTCTCTGATGATTGGGTATCCTGGCATTAGCAACCGGCGTAGGTCAGTGTTATCAAGCGCCCTGTCCCGATCTTCAATGCCTCTAAAGGAGACAACAGACTACTCGTGG